TATCGATATCGATCGTAACATTCAATATGGAGAAGCATAATATTGGCATTCATTCGATAAAGAATCTGAAAGATGTCTTCATAATGGGCTGATTGTGTTCAACATTCATAAGAATGCTATTTGAATAATAGGTCTAATAATACAACAACTGAAGTTTGTTTCTATTTCCGCGTTGTGTGGTCACACTAGCAGCTACGAAATGAGTGGCGGGGTGACAGGTTAAATTAGCAAATGGAACATTTTAAAGGTCAATCTTAAATTGGAGTGATATTATTTTAGGCTGCTATAAATATGTGCCATTTTATTTTAGTTGCATATGAATCGTTCAGTAAACATTTCGTTCGTAGTATAAACATATAACATACTCACTTAAAATAATATTAACATTCTAATGCTTGAAGTGCTAGAAAAACTGATAGTATATTAAATGCTATCATAATCAACACGTGAGTGTCAACTCCTTCAAACAGTCCGCTTTGAAGTTTATAGTGACAGACTACATCCTGTCAGCTCAAGAGTGGTATAAATCAAATAGCACTTTTACCACTGCTGGCAGACACACCTCTGTCTGATTCATAGACAGCACTTAAGACTAGCGCAAGTAATCAAACATTTAAACAACACTAGAAATACTGAGATTGTTAATAAAACACATTTAATAAACCATAACTCACATTATCATTTTACGTCAACACTTGGTGTTGTCACTTACTATAAATACGACGTTCAAAGTGCTTGAGTGGGACTCTGTACTGGCCGGTAAATCGTTTCATTGATTCGTTCTCTGAACATATTTTTTACCATTCAATACAGCAGTCGAAATATACTCATTGTTCTACTTAGTTGCGGCATGCTCACGCACACATATGACGCTATTTGTACAAGTTTAGTAACGGGCACATTGTCGCACGATACAACAATATCACAATCACAATTATTGTTATTCTGAGATGTGTTTTGTTATTAGGACGTGTCCATAAAGTTAAAAAGTGATCAATTGATTTATAATTCGTACGAAAAATAATTTTATTCAAGAACTTAACTGTAGGATATCAGAAATAAGCACAATTTTGTGGAATATTCATCGTTAAAAACAAACGTCTAAAATAAAACATGTTTACCCAAAAAGCTCAGTGAGAAGCGAAAACAAACGATAAGGACTTGCGATCAAGGCCTCTACCTATCGGTTATCACTTATGTCAACACATGTTTCATTGTAATTGCTGTAATTATCTGGGGGTAATTAGCAAAACAAAATGCAGATTTAATGTGAGTGTGGTTTGAACGCACCCTTTGTATGACGATGAGTTGCGGGTTGCGTCAGAGAGAGGGCGCGGGCGGGCGAGTGGCGGGCGGCGAGCGGAGCGGCGCTGCCGACGCCGGCGCCCCGCAACGCTCGCGCCGCGACCTCGTGCCCACCTCACACGAGACCATTTATACCACACTCAGTAAATTATACCTTGAGTATCATTTTTATTAGGTTCATTATCTGAAACTAACAAATGAGCTAGATGACTTTGTGGTGACACGCACAGCTTGAGTGAAGTTGACAGGACGTGATGTACATTGATTGAGTCTTTATAAACATTTTTATTAAGAACATGTTATAGAGGTAGATCTCTGTGTTCTAATTCTTTACTGATGCTGTCATTTTAAAACTTTGATTCTGTAAACTTTGCAAGCATTCACTTAACATTATACATATAGAGCTAAGATGGAAATACATTGTTAATAATATTAATTTTATGACATTAAGTTTTTATCAAATAGAATACCGAGTCTATCAATCCTATTTAAATTTTAATCTAAACTCGACCCGAGGAGCGACTAAAACCGATTTTTCATTCTCTCAGACCAATTTTTCAATGTCAGCCAAAGATACCAATTCTTTTATTATGTTATTGCCTGATTGATCACCAGATTAAAAATATTTAAATACATCGAAATTAACTGTTTTCTGCTAATCTAAGAATAAACAAAGCTAGGTCAAGTCGTAATGGTAAGAAACTCGCTATTAGGTATGATTATGCATTTACTGAAAATGTTTAGAATTGATTACAATATGACAGATTGTTGTTGCAAATTAATGAACGGTTTGGTATCATATCGAGCGCGATATCTTAATACGAATGTTGTGTACTCATTACTGAGTATTTCCACACGTGACATGAAAGCCAGCGTCGGACACCGGCACCGGCACGTAATCGCACATAACTATAAACTGAGGACTCGCTGATTGTGCCAACTGGCATACAACATTCGTTCCCTGAATCTGTTGTTATATAAATTATACAGTAACACTGATTCTCTGTTTACACAACTGCCGTACGATTCCGGACGAGCCCACTAGACGCAACCGTTCCTGAAAAATATATTATGTAGCTGAAAAACATTTGTTTCTTAATGAAATGTTGCAATCGCGGCTGTTTCCCCACATTAAACGAGCTCTCGTCTCATAAAATCATATTTTCTTGGATACCTACTGTATTTAAAATCTATGTACTTCCTCGAAAGACACCTCGGCACGAGTTTTCTCTCTATTTCTTGTGAACATTTCAAACGCCAAGTTTTAACGTGTGACGTGGGCGTGCCGGTCCTCTATCTCGTAAACTCATAACTAACACAACACGGCCACCATGTAAACTTTGGCTCACAGTTTGATTCTGTTCTACTCCAACTATGTATGTACTCAGTTGTGATTAAACTTAGGTACTGACTTATACATACGCTTCTGCATTTCGTACAACGCACGTACGCCAAATGTACTGAAATATTAAAAAGTTTCAACAACCTGCTCCTAATGCCCACTCGAGAGTCGAGTAAGTATACGTGTTATGATAAGTGCTTTCCTAAACAACATAAATGTATGTATATTGAATCATACAAGAATTTCAGATATATGAAAACAAATCATTCTTATCGTAAAAATAAAAACATGATCTACCGGTGTCCTACTTCCCTCAAACTATGCTCTTTGAAAACACAATTCAAAGAATTTTACAGTTTCAGTAAACCTTTTTCAAATAAAATCTGATAATAATGGAAACGGGGTCAATATGCCTTGTTCTGTAAATCTTTGAATTATGACTAAGAGATAAAACTTAAATCAACATTAACCTTCATCCTAGTTGTGGTACGGACGATGGTACAGGAAAATATATAACTGTTCATCTTAGTAAACGAGCGTCGTAACTTTCTAATCTCATATTGTCATGGATGCCGCGGCATCTGTCATATTAATTATCACCTACAGGGTCGAGGGACGTGTCGAGTATATGAAGTGGTCACAAGTTTCCGAGCGCCCGATAAGACATGATATCGTCGCCACTCCCAAACTTGTTTTTACTGTACTGCCAGGAAGTTTGTAACCCAAGTATGCGTGGAACGTAGCTCCTGAGTCGACACTTATTTATTGTTCATGCTGATCATGAATTTTTCCATCGAAAGGAAAGACATTGAGTTCTTTCATTACCGCGAATGTATTTTGTAATGTATTATGTTTGATTTACGTTTAAAGTATTCGAAACGAGTATGCGTTCGGCAGTCTGATTGGCCGGCGCCAATGGACTAACCAATAGCGCCGAACGCGTACTCGTTACAATTACTTTAAGCATAAAACAAACTCGTACTAAGGCCTCAGGTTAAACTGAGAACCTTATTTTATTGAAGTCGGTTATAAATGGCAATTTTCAAACATCAGTTGTAATGCCAGACGTGGTTTCCGATAGCAATTTGGCACAAATTAAAACTCCTCAATGTACCATGAGTCGATTTTATGTACTATTGGTTTCGATGATCAAACGAGAAACAGTCTATAAAATCGATACACCTAATTATAGATGGCTGTTTCAAAAGAGGTTTAATTAACACACTTTAATAATTACTTCTCATCCGTTTGAATAACCGCTTTCATTTCCCCGATTAAAGAATATTATTCCTATTTAGGCTGTAAAATAATTTTCGACCAATTAATTAGACGACATTTTAGATAAATAAAACTGATATATAGGGATAATAATCTTGCCCAATTAGATTTACGATGTGTACAATACTTTGCTATTACAAATATGACTTTAGATTATAATCCTAAGCTAATATAGTTAATCCAGGAAACAGATAATCCTCATTTTTTGGACAAAGCGCGTAATACACACACTACTAACGACTTCTAAGTTATTTAGCATGTATCATTAGAAGGTACGCAAGATGTGAAAAAATGCACTTTATAAGCACCAATCTCGTTTGATTATCGTGTACGTGTTTTAAGTCTGAATCTACATTTATTGCTCTAAAAGTTTCTATTTCCATTGTTTCAATGTTATTTCTGTCTGTCTTAGAGGTAGGTGTGCGAATGTCTTCTTCTTCATTCTTATGGTTTCTGGTCATCTGCCAAGTTCCGCTTTGCTTAAAGGAAGGTCGAGCAATCATTTGTACACATCCTCCACATTTCCTACGATACATTAAAATTTAAAAAGTATACATATTCCTACGACCGCTAACTGAATCCAGGCCTTTAAATAATGAACAATCGACTAAAGTTGTCTTGTTTTCCGCAAAGTTGATAATGCCGGTTCAATTAAAAGACTTGGAGATTAATATCGATGTCGGGAAAATTTTAAATGGCGATAATTATCGTCAAGGTCTTAGCTTTGTAACCACATAACTGTAGCACGCACATCGTTGGTACATATTTATTATGTACCTACGTACGTACGTAGTACACACTCTTATGAGTTAAGTGTTAAAAGTTTACTCCCACATTATCAACATCTGTAAACATTTTCACATTTATGTTTCTTAACGTACACAGATAAACACCTTGTCGAGGGCAATGCACTTTTTATAAGCAATTTAATCATCATCAATAACTATCGTTCATTCTCTTACGTGCTCTAATTACTTTAGCGCTGTTGAGGCTTTTGCCAAATACGTTACGTACTTACTACCTATCGTGTATACGTTAATGTTGTAAACTAACAGTTGTTTTTTTTCTATTTCAGCTACACTCATCACCGCAACCGCGGGTACCTGCTACGGGTGGCCATCTCCCACACTACCCTATCTCCAGTCACCGGAGAGCAAAATCCCTACTTCACCTGATCAGGGATCATGGATAGTCTCAATAATGATCCTGTGCTCCGCGCTGACGCCTGTTCCCGCTGCTTATTTTGCCGACCGGTTTGGTAGAAAGACCACCTTACTCCTCGGAGCTGTACCATTCATCATCGGCTGGGTGCTAGTCATCGTAGCCAACTCTGTGTCCCTCCTTTACGTGGCACGGATGTTCTCAGGACTGGGCTACGGGATAGTCTACACAGTTGCTCCCATGTACACAGGAGAAATCGCTACCAATCAAGTGCGAGGGGCCCTCTCTACTCTTATCACCTTGATGAACAAAGTAAGTAATGCATTTGTTATGCAATTCAAACAAAATGCCCCGTTTGCATTGTGTTCAGCAAAACAACACATCGCATTATCTGCTAGTGAAACGAATCGTTTTAAACTTAGAGATATTAAAAAAACATGAACCCGGCCAGCCAGGTGTCGATAAATTATTCATTGCCTTAATGGGTTAGTTTAATTCATCTACGAACATAGATATTTGAATAACATTTAATTAGATAACTATAAAAAAAATAAAAGCACGCTACTGGAAAAATGTAGGTACTCTATGACTTTATGCGAAACTTGGTGTATGTGATAGATCAATATTAGCTGTAATGAATCGTGATCAAGTTCAATGAAATAATTGCGTAATTTAGTGTCAGTGCAATTACTCACTTTGGATAAGTTCAACTAATAGGCGATATCCTTTGCAATGAACAGGCAGTTCCAATTATAAATTATTTCTAGTTGAGCCAGCTCGGTCTTATCATTGATATTTACATATTCTATGCTCGGTGGCCTGTTTTATAAGCTCGTTTTCTGCTTTGAGAGTTAGATATGCGATTTCTAAATGCTGTTCGTAGAATCGCACGTTGTATGTACTTGTGCAGCCAACAGGTGTACGGTTTCCTTTGTCAGAGTCCGTTGCACTATATACGTAACACTCATCTTATTACGTCGACTATGTCATTCGAGATATTCAAGTTTAAATATATTATGTCACCTAAACTTTACCTACTTAGCATTCGTAGATAGTCTGACAATATACTTATCCTCTCGAAGCAGTCGTACAAAAAAACCGACATACCTAAACATTTTATCAGGAGTCATAAAATGTTCACGTGATAAGCCAGTGATATTACCATAAAACACATTGGTACAACGTGCTACGACTATCGCTATCAACTATATGGAAAATTTAATTACTCCCGAGGATACCAACTTAAGAAAACATAGTGGAGAGCTATTTTATAATAGAGTTAATAAGCATGGATCTAATGAAATGCTATTCACTGGGATCTTAGCTATATGACAACAATTTATTTCGCATTGTGTTGTATTTGCACGTAATTAAGGCAACGTGCACACGAGTCGACTCGCGACGTAGAACGTGGCTCATTACCTCAATTAACCAAGCGCATGGTTTCCCGCAATTCACATAAATAACGAAACGTAACAGTCATGTTTCGAAAATATTAGGTATTTTTTGTTTACTTTCGAATGAGATTACTAATCTAACTGTAGATCGCAACATACATACCTAATTGTTATTAAATAGCTCTCCCTGTTATAAAATTTATTGCTTTACACTTGAAATTGACGTGTCAGTAGTATTGTATCCATTTAATCACCGTAATGATTTTATCTTCATAATTATAAACCCATATTAAGCTGTCTTATCTTGACAAATAATGATGTAAAGCCTTGGTTTATAGCTACAGTCGACTAACCTCAGAGTAGCCGTAATAAAATTTGTCTGTCTGGATGTGTAAGAACTTGCTTTTTTATGGTACAAGCCCGCCACAACCTTCCAAAACCGCAACTCCTGTAAGCCAGGGTCTACAGTAGATAGATAGAAATAACTAACTTGTAAAATACTAATATTCTGTTTTCTTTTCTTCCAGGTCGGAATTCTTGCCCAATACTGCATCGGCCCGTTCGTGTCTATGCAAACCCTTGCCGCCATCAACTTGATCCTGCCTGTCTCATTTGTCATCTCGTTCATTTTTCTACCAGAATCTCCTTATTACTATTTAAAATTTGAGCGGAGTGCGAGAGCAGAAAGCGCCCTGATGTGTCTACGTAGTGGTGATATTAGAACAGAACTCAAGAGTATAGAACTCAACGTTCAAGAAGACATGAAGAACCGGGGTACATGGGCGGATCTGGTCACAGAAGCTACCAACAGGAAAGCAATGTGGATAACACTTGGCATTTTCACCATACAACAGCTGTGTGGCAGTGCTGCAGTTGTGGCGTACGCTCAGGTCATATTCAACTGCACGACCAGTCCAGTTGGAACAAATCTAACAGCTGGGCTAGAGAATACAACTGTTGCTTCTTCCAGCATACAACCCTACCAAGAGTCTATAATTCTGGGTTGCGTACAAGTGGCCACCTGTGTCCTATCCGTCATACTCGTCGACCGCGTTGGAAGGAAACCTCTTCTCTTGCTATCGGCTCTTGGAGTTGGTCTCATGAATGGCACCATTGGAACTTACTTTTATTTCGACCACTCCAACGCTGGGTCAGTGGCACACCTGCACTGGTTGCCTCTAGCCGCTCTTCTTGTTTACATCGTATGCTATGCCATTGGACTGTCAACGGTCCCCTATGTCATCATTGGAGAAATGTTCCCCACAAATGTTAAGCTTTACGCGTCATGTATCGCCCACATCTACACTGGAGTCTCCATGTTTGCTGTTCAAAAACTGTTCCAGGTAAGGACACATTTTATTAACCATTAAATATTTATTTTAATTTATAAAATCAAAACCAAATTTAAACAAAATCCCATTTATTTTGATAAATATCTATTTTTGTACATACAACGACTGTCCGTTGCAGAATAAGATAAAATATTCTGCAACTATTTAACAAATTAGTTTTTCAATTAAATTATTCAATTAATTTAGTGTATTTGTTAACAGTGATCTAATATGTAACATTTATCATTCCAGGTGGTGAAAGACGCCTATGAGATCTACACAGTATTCTGGGGCTTCGCGACGTTCTCGCTGCTGGGCCTGGTGTTCATGCTCGTCATGTTGCCGGAGACGAAGGGCAAGTCGTTCGCGTCCATCCAGGCGCAGTTGAAGCGGGAGGTGGCACGCGACAACGCTAAGAAACTGGCCACCGTCGAATACTGAAGGCCAGACACTTTGTCTGCCGGATTATTACTTCTCACTAGTTTAGCATAAGCTTTACTTTAATTAAGGGAACAAGCAAGTTGGAATGACAGTTAAGGATATTGATACTTAAAGTTTAATGTAATTATAGCATAGAATAGTGTAACAACGTACAGTTTTCTATAAAGTATTGTAGACACTACACTATTACAAGAGTAGCCTGTGTATGCACAGTAGAGGAAGTATGGAGGGAGCCAGAAGGGCTGCTCCGGAGAAGGCGGTGAAGTCCTCAGGGTCGTAGTCGGTAGGCAGGGCGCGCGATTTGATCACGCTGGCATACAGCTTGGCTGAGTGTTTCGCCGTCCTCGTCTTGTTCGGACTCTTAAAATCAACCAGATATAGACCGAAGCGGGACCTGCAAATGCATTTACAACAGAACTGTGAAAGCGTGAAATAGATATTTCGACTGATTTATGTGTTTTATTCCACACCAAAAAGACGGCTGGCATCGAAGAGTATTCATATTTTCATATTTTGGACTTAATCTATTACTTTTAACTGATATTATAAAAGTATACGTTATCTGAATGTGTTAATAAGTACTCTAGTATGATCTTAGCTTATTACATTGAATTATGTAATAAACAGCTAATAAAACAAGTTGCCTTTATACCTATAAGTCATAAATTTCCAACGAAGTCCTCTATAGTAATAATAATTGACATTATCATACAACTGCTGGAGGGGCCGAAAACTTTATAACAAAGATCTCTTCTATTAACCTACAATCTTTATGAAGCCTAGTCTACATTAATTTAAAACTATCTATTAGACGAAGCTCTTATCAAAGTAAATAAGAATTAGATAAAATGAAAGTCATCAATCATCGGTATCATTCTCGAACGTGCCTCCAGCCATATGAATGACATTTTTCAAATTGATTAGATTACTGAGAAATTATATGTTCGCTATGTAGGTCAATAAAAATAGTTCTCAATTCAGAAATGGGCGACTATGACGCAAACAGTGGCTGAGGCATGCCATTTCGAGCGAAACTGATATATGAATAGATAGTTTATATTTTGTATCAAATTCTTAAAGCTATTTTGAACCGACTTGGCTACATTTTCACATTCATATTTTTAAGATACCTCGAAATATATCCTTAGTCCCTTTTCCTCCTATCATCTCAATGTCCTAAACTGAAATAAACGTTTATGTCATATTACTACAATTTTAGGAATCCAAATTTTTAGAACTGTCTGTAAATAACTGCCTCGGCCGCGTGGTCGTAAGTGCAACTGCTGGGCAAGGGGGCTCGGGTTCGATTCCCGGGTCGGGCAAAGTAATACTGGGTTTTAAAAAAATTCTCAGTCGTAGCACGGAGTCTGGAATTGTGTCCAGTATATGGCAATAGGCTCACCCCCTATTACATGGGACTCGTAACATAAATAGTGAAAAGTGGGTGTTACTTTGTACAGTGGCATAGGTAATGATAATGTGCACCTCTGCCTACCTCTTTGGAGATAAAAGGCTAGATGTTTATGTCTGTAAATAAGAAAGTAAGCAGTACCTACATTTCGTCGTAATATTCACAAGTAATACTCGAAACACAAATTTGTTACACCCGGAATTGATCCACGCCTCTGACATTCAGGAAAGCCTACAGGCAAACACTATTTACTTCTATAGCTGCCATGGCATTCGTGTATCTAGTCATAAAAACACGCCAGATAGCAGTGCTTTGCACCTGTCTGCTGCATAGGTCGGTAAAATAATCACGCCTCAAAAACGCAACGTACATATAAACGCAAGTCATTGCCTTATCATTTTGTTTTCACTAGTCATTTCAAAATCTTAAAGATAATCTACAATTTTGCGACTGTGTGATGACACCTGTATAATATAAGTACCTACGAAATGATAAGGTGTAAAAAATACAGTGAATCACCTAATTAAAGGGGCGTTGGGGATTTTTTTGCAATTTTAGTTTATAAGTATGTCTTGTCCTTCATTAATTAAGATAACGTCAGCTATAATTATAATAATTGCTAATTCCTGGAGCTAAAACCTTGTGAAGAAAAAACTAACAGCGACCTAGAAATAAATCTAGGCATCATCAACAGCCTATAAATGCCCACTGCTGAGCAAAGCCTCTTCTCACACGGAGAAGGTTTGAGCATTAATCACCACGCTTGCTCATTGCGGGTTGGCGATTACAGACTTATAAGTAGAAATTATAAGCCAAGGTTCCCTCACGATGTTTTCCTTAACCGTTTGTCAGTGGTGTCTAGATAATCTTAGAAAGAATGTATAACTCGGAAAAAGTCACATTGGTACTTGCCGTTGGTAGGTTTCAAACCCGCACCCTCATGCATGAGAATCGGGCGTTTTAAACCTCTGGGTCATCACGAAACATTTCAATCTAGGCTTAGTAATATTTAAAATCTTTAAAAATAGCCTGTCTAGGGACAGGGACCCATAGACCTCTCTAATAACGAACCACGAAGCTCAATCATCAGGTCTTAGAATTACTTAATAGTAACGATTACTTAGGTATAGGTAATGCCTGTAGAATTAACGGTTTCTGTCATAGGAGTCGAAGGGTACCTAAATAGGTTTCTTTACCCATACCTATAAATCTCCTAATAGAACGAGTCACGCTGAGTGACATGTGTTCGATTATCACTGCCAAAAATATAATGATACCCATGATGAAACCTTCTGTCTAACTACCAAAGCTAAAGGATTTATCTAGAGACCATTGAACTCTGAGATAGCAATATAATCTCTACATAATGACAAGAACTCATTAAACTACTCGGTAAATGAAGTCAGTAGCGCCATCTAGTATGAAAATGATAAAATTATCAAAGCACAAATAGTAGTCACAAAAGGCACCAATAGATGTCGCTTCTTGTCTCTACGAAGGATTGTTAGTAAAAATATAACTACAATGATTAATTTCGTGCTAAAGTAACTATTACTATTCTATGATTGTTGAGTCAAGGCGAATTGAATAGACAATATTTATACACCTAGATAAGCTGCAGACATTAGTCTAGGAATCTACGAATAATAACGTCTATATATACTAGGTATTTACCAAGGTCTAGTAATATCTTCTTAGTTCAACATTACCATTAAAGCTCAGCTAATAATGGAGCGGTTTGTCAAGATAAACACGTAATAAATTGTTATTGGAACAATTTTATGGCCCTTTATGTCTCGTACCAAGACAGGATTATTCTTCGAAACAGTCATTGCTTCTTGACACTACAAAAATAACTTTATTTCTCTTTGATTTTTTTCCATTAAGTAGACTAGTGACTTTAATATTTGATTTGACGAGTTTGGAATTTTGGTGAAGTACTAATCACACCGAGACTTTTAGGGTCCTCAATTAATATCACAAGAATAACTATTTTTTTTATTTTAGCCTGGACTGGACCTATTCATTACGATTAAAAATATTGAAGTGATTTACTATTTGACTTAGCTTGATTTACCAAAATTAAAAGGTCTGTTTTGAAGCTGCGGGTTCTTTAAAAAGGTAGGATAAATACTTACACGTATCCATCATCCCATTCGAAGTTATCCATCAAACTCCACGCGAAGTATCCTTGGACATTGCTCTTGTCTTCGTGTAAGGCGTGAAGCAAGGCATTCAAATAATGACTGTAGTACGCCACCCTCGCTTTGTCCTCCAAACCAGAGAAATCAGCGTATCCATTCTCGGTGACTATTATAGGAACATTGTTATAAGTCTTCGTGATCCATTTTAGTAGTCGTCTGAAGCCGAAAGGCACCACCTAGACAATAGAAGGCAAATTTATAGTTACGTGCTCATGAATAGAACGTTTGCGGTCGTGAAACAGAATATATAGGCAAATAATTCATACCATTCACTGTTGGTAATTAAAATTTTATTGTTTCAAATCTTTCTGTGATGATTTCGAAATACCTGCTCTTTCTGAATTGTTCGGAATTTGAACATAAAGTTGGATAGAGACAGAAACATTCACAGATATTGTATGTTTTAACAGTACCAGGTACTCATGCACGAGTGTTGTTGTCTCTTAATGATTTAAAAGGATTAGTTTTTGTTGTCATTAAGCTTACTATTGAGAGTTTTTCTTTGTAATTAAGAACATTGTAACGATCTAATTAGATAAAACAATGTTGTATAACGAGACGGATTTTTTCAATGATATTCCCACAAACAAATGAAGGTAGAACACTATTCTTTATATATATTAAAAGTAGAGTTTAAAATTAAATAATAGGCATACATGGGACTTATAACATAAATGGTGAAAAGTGAGTTTGTACAGTGGCATTAAGTGCTGTAATGTGCACCTCAACTCTGCCATCCCCTTCGGGGATAAAAGGCGTGTTTAAATAAGTATACCTGCAAAACGTACCTTAAGCCAAGATGAAGATGAATCGGAAGGCCATTTCGGGTCTTGAACTCTGATGATGCCAACATCGTTTTCGTGGGAAGGTACAGCACCTACTTCTTTTTTGGCCATAGACAAAAGATAGGTGGTGTAATGGTTCAAACCAAAGAAGTCTGCAGTTCCCTTGATATAGTTCACCTCTTCAGGAGTGAACTTCGGGAGTCGGGACCGAGTGTAGTTTTGTTGCAGACTCTTCTCATCGACTAACTTTATAAGTTCGGCGGGGTAGTTGCCCTCCTGCGAGTAAACGGGATGCGCGTACCAGCCCAACTGGAATGCCAAAATAATTATTGCTTTTTTTTTGCTTCTTTGGCTAACGAGTCTCCAAAACGATCTTGTCGACTATACTGCCAGTGTCGAGTGGTGACGGCCGTTTAATGAACCGTCGAATTTTACTTTGCGGTAGTTTTTAGTTGTTAGTAGCTGAAAGGACAAAGCACTTGGGTTAGTAAACATATATTAATTGCTTAATAAAAGTTGTTAGTTACTGTCGTCTTTGTGATGACATTGAAATATTTATTTAAACCAGAATATCATAAAGTACAAAATTGTATTAAGATAACTTCTCTTCCGTTTTTATATAATTACGTTATCATTGCGATTATCAGTTTACATTCGTCTTTACCCTTAAAATAATAAAGTATACAATTCAGTGTAGGTACTTAATTAGTATTTTTAAAACCACTCTTTGGCATTTTTCGCCTGGTGTAAAATTAAATCATAATATTTTCCTTGATTCCAATCGTAACTGAAGGTCAAAAAAAAGAAGACTATCTTAACAGAAGTACGCACGTTACCTCCTCTGAATTAGTAGAAAAGGGCTCATACCGAGCGTACGCAAATTGTGACCTTATTCCAGTAACACTTAGAATACCAATCAGCTTTAGGTCAACTTAATTGCAAGCAAAAATACTTTGCGTACATAACGATGACACTAACATAAGGTTTCTTTCTTATTATAACGAGATACCTTAGTTAAGTATGACGCTAATATGTCATTAGACTTTATA